TAGCCTGATGATAATCGGAACTGCAAGCTTACTGCCTACGAATGCAAATTCTCGTTCCGCATTATTGTCATACCACTCGTGCTCATTAGAGTTGACGAAGAGCTGCAGTGGATTGTATTCCGGGAACTGCAAATTTGTGTAGCAGGTAAAGCCAGCTAATGCAACAATAACAGCTAATGATGTCAGCCAAATAAAGCGACCGCTGACAATAACGAATGGCAGCAAATCACGCATCAAATAATTCAGCTTCCGGAACAGTCGCCAGGCGCTGGAGCAACGACGATGCATGCGGCGATTCTGGAATATTAGCACTGCCGGAAGAAATGAGATCTCGAGCAAATAATTGAACACCAGTGTTAGACCAGCAAATAAGCCAAAACATCTAAAATTTACCATGCTTTTTAGTGGCATGGATGCATCGAAAGATGAAAAGACTGGTCTTCGAGCTATAAGTACCATTCTAAAACGGTCTAGTCAACTCAGAATCAAAAAAGAATATAGCCCGAAAATTTTCTCCAGACAAAAAATCGTATTTTACCAGTTTTAGGACTGATCCTTAGAGGTCCTCCAATCTCACTGTAAAATTCGTGTTTCTTACATTTCTATACGGCGTTTATGCGAAGATTTTGGTGAAAAATAAAGAGCTGATCACGCTTGGGCAAACAAACGGAATTTCCGACTTCACCTCTCTCCGATCCTCATTTTTATTCTCTTTTGTTTCCCTCCACTTTATCCCCACCCTCTTCGCTCTTTTCTTTTGTCGCCCTCACGAGTCTTTTCTCCCAGCCTTCGAATCAATTCAATTTTTTACTCTACTTTGTACATAATTTCACACAGTACCCGTTGCAGGATTTCAAAAATATACCACAAATAATACCAGGAACTCCAACACTGTCTGAATATCCGGTCTGGGTATCCCACGTTAGTGGTGTTATTGGGATCTTCCCATACATCAAATGCAACTATGCCTGGCCTTTCGATCCTGAGTTGCGTAAAAAATGAGATTTTTTTTTTTAAAGATGAGGTCATATTATGCGATTTTTTCACATAAATTATTGTGCGAAACAGTTCCGCACTAAAGTTTTTTCTGACCTTCGTCGTTTGAAATCAAATTTTACAATAAAAAATTCAGACGATGAAAGGACCTGCCTAAAGACGACAACACTACTGAGAATATTGGTGAAGAAAGGCACAGCAGTGGAGGCGGACGTAAGTAGCATAGCACTGGCTGTATGTGACAGGCATTCGTGGACCGTTGCTGGCGTAACATCTGTTGGCGGAAAAGAGTTCAGCAACACGAATGCATCATCGCTACCAATGGCCAACAGCAACACGAAGACGACCAAATTCAGGAGCGGGAAAGTGGTAGTGAATAAGGAGTAAAGCGCCAAGGCACTAAGCACCGAACCCAACAGCATAAAGGCCACGGTGAAGCAGAACAGTACATTCAGCGAGTACAGAAATACAACAAAAAATACGCAGAAAGCTGCACCGCACGCAAGCAGCGAATCTCGCTTGGCGCCATCGTACAGGATATCACGTTTGATATCCATTGAGAGTCCTGCAAAAATGGAGAGGTCAGAAGTCAGCCAATATATCACAAATGATGCGGTGCGCAATTGATTTGAGCGGTGGCGCAAATATGCGGGCTATTTTTTGATGGAAAGCCTGCCTGTCTCGAATCCACTGTATTGAAGAGCATATTATGATACTTTAATCATCTCCAATTTTCGTAACGATTGAGCCAGATTGAGCAAAAAGCCGCAGTTTTATGAGAATATTGATTGTTTATATGGAGCCTATATTAATGAAATAAGCTTATGCTTACTAACAAATTCCGCACACTTTTCACCATCCTTCTCACTCGATAATAAAAGGAACGAGAAAGCACAAATTTTATGAGAATGCTTCCAAATCTTGTGCGGAATTAAGACAGTACAATCACCTGTCACAAACGCCTACGTCTTGAGTGCGCACACGATAAACTTGAAGGAGCAAACTCAACAGCAATCCCTCTTCACAGTAATCATGTACACTGGAAGCTGAGATATCATATGGTCCTACAGTGCAGCATTACTGTCCCAACCGTTAGCCGACATTCCTCTCCCACCACATGCAGCAAATGACCAAAAACGCAGCCAACATGAGTGCACATGTTTATTTAACTCTAAAACAACTATTCAGGCTATGCGCAAAAATGCATGAACGCATCGGTAACTCTGGCGCACGCTGCTACTGATTATCTTTGATGCAGTTTTTTTTGAAATTATAAATGATATAGCGCAGCTGGACTGCTACTTTCGGGTATTGCAATCGTCAGTTGATGAGATCCACTAGGGGTGGTACATTGGCTGAGTCAAATAGGTTCAAAAATACCTTTCAAAATGAAGCTTCGGCGTTGCCTCGAGAAATTTCGCAGCGCATTTTGCAAATTTATATAGTGATTGACTGTTGCATTGTAAAATCCACGCGACCGGTATCCAGATAATGTGAAAATAGGTAAAAACCCGTTGATATAGATCGGTTGAGAATTCAAATTTTTAGGCAAAATTCGATAAAAGAAATCAAAAATCATTTGCGATGAGCAATTCTCTGGTACATCGGAACATCGAGGACAATCGACAAAGCAGTTGCGCCGGCAGTTAACAATTTGGCGACGGTATGGTCGGCAGTAATCGACAATTGCATGCACGTAACGGATATCGTCCTCGGTGAGGAATGAGCAGTTGGCAAGCAAGTTTGGCGAAAGACAAGAAATATAGTTCGGCAAACTCCAGATATTTCTAAAAAGAATCTTTTCGAAAATCTTGCCTACCTGCTCCAGCATATTTTTTTGCGTCTTCTAGCGCCCATAACGGCACCAATCTTGCGAATACCAGGAGTTTTCGAAAAGCAAGAATTTGTGTGCATACTTGTAACATTCTAACAACGCACCAAGAATCGCGACAAGTGTGAAAGGGGAAAATTTGCATAAGGATCCAAGCTAAATTCGGTACATTATAGCTAAAATCGCCTTCTCTTCCTCTCAACTGTATCGCTTTCCGGCTCCAGGGCTTCAGTTTTTTTTTCAACCAAATTTAGAATTTTTCAGTTATTTTTTGTAATATTTTAATCGGGTTTTGCGTCATTTTGTCTGATTTCATATGCATCGGATTTTTAAAAAAAATGTGACCCAAAAGATACCGGTTTCCAGAGATGCAGCAGCTTAATTCGAAATTCTAAATTTTCGTTTCTTTATCGACTCCAAAAAATGTATTATGCCTTTAGAATGCTTTGGATAAGCTTGGCTGCATCCAGAAAATTGAATGCTTGGGGAAATTTGGTGCGTCAGCATTTGTCACCCGTAAATTATTCCCCATGAATGCATCATCACAGCTTTCCCATCCGGTTTTGCTATTGATGTTTATTGACATAAATTCTATGCAATTGCAAAATCTGGTTTTTTTCAGTGATTTTCTCTGTACAATTTGCTTCTGCTGAATTTGAGAAATATTTAACGTCGCATAAGCAGAAGTAGTATCGGCAACATATTTTTGTGTAAAAAAGGCCGATAGATATTTGTGTGGAATCAAAAAAGATAAAATTAAGTCAAAAGCGTAAAATACAAAATCCAACTACAACGAAGTAGAATTTCACCAAATAAGCGTAACATTTTACTGAATAGGCTTGAAACTTGTTGGTACTTAAATCAGCTACAAATACCAAACTTTGTCTAAAAATGTTCCAAAAATGTATGAGTCGGCTCTTTGTACGTACTAGATTTCGACATTTACCATCTTGAGCGAGGAACTTCTTTCTGTGCACGGTACCCTTTCTGTTGGAAGCTGGGTGTGTTAGCCATGTCAGTAATTAGCGATGACAAAGTCCTGGTGTGTAGTTAACAAACACATAAGCAGTTTTCAAACTAATCTGCTTTAGGACCTCCGTCTTAAATTAAGTGTAATATTGCTCATCTAGAATAAAAAAGCCAAATGCAATAAGTTTTTGGTCATTTGTCCATCACGCACGTGAAATGATAGCCGGAAAGGCTTTTCATCGTAGTCTAGAAGCGGGAGCGTTCGAGACGAGGTGGTGGTGCTCAGTAGCAACCAAAGAAGTTGCCAAACGAACTGCGACGAATCCGTTTAGCTGGCAATTTCTTTTTTTTAGGGTCGAAACAAAATGCCAGGATCGTCAACAGTCTGATACCAGGCGACGAAGTATTGGTCAAAGCAACTGGAAAAGTTGCCACCTGCACGGTTGTAGAAATACGCTGTGAGTTCCAGCCCATCCAGGTCTCAAAATACTCAAAGTATCAACAAAATAACGGGCCTTTATCTCTGCGCAACCCGCTGAATAACTTTACCAGGAACTCACAAAAACTCACAACAAATGCAACAAAATTTCTTATTTACTGTTATCTATTCAAAGCAATCCCGAGCTTCAAGAATTATATGTCTTTTTGCGCGGTTGAAAAGATTCACCTGTAAGGAGTTATATTGCTGAATGGTTGTAGCTGATCGGCGAGGTAGTCATGCAATGAACAAAGCATTTTGAGATAATTCAGCTCAAATAACTGTTCATAGGAATTGGCTTCCACTGTGAATTGCGTTAAATAATCCACTGGAATTTTATGAGAGATATGGACGAAATTTACTTCGCTTTGAGGAATAATGTTTAAAAGCGAAGTATTTCTAACAGAGCAGGTGTTGTACCGCTGCGATATAATCAAAATCGCTGCGACGCGGAGTGTGTAATAATGCCCTCTGATGTTATCAGCATCCGAAGAATGCTGATTACTACACTCATTTCCCCATACACACCGATTCCGGTCACCTGTCTACAGATGAGCAACCTACGTCTGTACATTCCCTATACTGGTTTTCATCTCGAGACCTACAAAAGCTACAGGGCTGAAACTTTGGGAGCTTAATCTAAATGAAGGTACGGGCAACAATCCCCAAAATCGGCGGTCTTATCTGCGTGGTACTCACGTACGGGCCCGTGAAAGTTATTTGCGAGTAAGTCGCTAACTCGCGAACCAAAAAAGTTAGAAAGCTGAAATTTTAGGGGGTGTTCCCAGCCCAAGTAAGTCTAAATGAGCTAAAACCCAGTCCCCTGGTACGCGTGGTACCTACGTACGGGCCCGCCAAAGTTTTTTGGGTAAGTTGATAACTCGAGTACCTGAAAAGCTAAAGGACTGTAATTTTAACAGGATATTCCGCGTCCATCTACGTCTCATTGGGCTCAAACCCAGCCCTCGGGCATGCGTGGCACCCACGCACGGGCTCACCAAAGTTCTTCCCGGGTAAGTTGCTAACTCGAGAACCTGAAAAGCTAGAAGACTGTAGTTTTCCAGATTAGCGGACTAGAAAAAAAGCTAGCTCCCCGTCCACGTAAGTCTCGACGAGCTCAAATCCAGACAGCGGGCGTACGTGGTACCCACGTATGGGCTCGTGAAAGTTTTTTCCAGTAAGTTGCTAACTCAGGAGTCAGGAAAGCTAGAAAGCTGAAATTTTAAGGGGGTGT